TACAATAGAGACAGAGAACACAAAGCCGTTCATAGCTTCATCACTGTACTTCTGTTCCTAGCACAGTGCCTGGAAGCATAGTAGGTTTCTACCAATATCATTTGAATGACTTAATAGTTTGAGACAGCACACATGGGGAAAATGCCAGAAGATGTCAATAATGAACTCGGTGTTCTGTGAGCTGTTGGAACAGTATAAAACAGGTTATCGATAAATCATTTAAAATAAAGAACAGGTCATTCAGGCTGAACTTTAGGGCAAGACCCAAAAAGTGGTAAAGTCTTACTACAACAGCTAGTTGAGAATGTGCACTAGGTAGCTGAAGTAGCTGAAGCAAGATGTTGGGGCACGAGTCACTGGAAAACCACTCTAAGAAAGTCAGAGTATATATGCAATGATTTACCAAGCTTCCCCACCACACACACACAGGCTTGCTGCTGTAGAAGTCAGAATTTAGATGTGCTAGCATTAGGCAAAATATCCAATCAACATGGACATTTTTTTCCCTTTCTATTTCTTTTCTTTTCCCCTTGGTACTGGGGTTTGAGCTTAGGGCCTTGCTTTTTTTGCTAGCCAGGTACCCTACCACTTAAGCCACACTCCCAATGCTTTTTGCTTAAATTTGTTTTTTAGGTAGGGGCTCATGCTTTTTGTTGGGTGGACTCAGAGTGTGATCCTCCTACCTCCAGCTCTCACGTAACTGGGATTACAGGCATGCACCACCATGCCTGGCTGAACACCAAGTATGTGAGCAGCCCAGGTGCCTCTCACCACCATTTTCCCTTTCTCCCAGCCCAGGCACTCAGTACTCTGCAGTCTCTCCATGCAAGTGCCCGCTTACAAAAGTAGACTTGTGGCACTGAGTCCCCATTGCCAAGAAAGAATCTTTGGGAAAATGGCCTTTTGTCTTGCAATAGCTGTCAATTATTCCTTCTGGTAATCAACGTGAGCTGCAGTCCATGGTCAGGATTCAACAAATGAAGACTGAGATAACAAGAATCTGAGAATCCATTGGTCATTTGGAACCCTACTCAATGGGAATATGGCACATTCCTGTCACACAGGTAATGGAAAATTCATTCTTTTCATATTGACAACGGTGTCCTCACTGTATAAGACTCAGAAAGGAGTACATGTATACATGCAACTGATTAATTCCAGCAGCCTTTGATATAATTGTCCAAAGATTTGCCCTGGTACCAATTTAAAACACAGTAGCAAATTTAATAAAACTAACAGTTTGCAGCCAAGGCCTTTGTTATTTTGTTTTAATCATCTTTTACCACCAATTGAAATGATTTTCTACTTTCTTGGTGCAATGAAATAAAATAGAAGGGAAAGAATGGAGGGACAATGTGGAAATTATGTAAGAGACACAGCTTCAAATCTTGGGATAAGGTAACAGTCCTGAGAGTTTACCAGTTATTTGTGTCAGGCTGAGATCTAAAGAGAGGACATTTACCAGTTTGGGGGAAACTGCACACCTGGATAGCATTAAAGAAAGGAGAGGGGAAACATCTACAAGAGACTCTTGTTTTTCCTGAATGGAACCAAAGGAGATGTGTGACAGCTTCCCCAAACATTCTGCTGTTGATGGACAGGTCACTTGATTACAGAGCAGAGTTTGTGACAAGCTGCCTGGTTGCCAAGGACTCTGGGAGCCAAAACACCAGATACAGTTGAAGGTAAACAAGGCATTCTCCACAGTGTGAAAATCGAGGCCAAGTTGGGGCCAGCGAGTTGAGTGCAGGGACCCAGTGACAGCTGGTGACTGAGTAGCACTGAGCAGTTGTTGAGGACCAGGGGCCTGTGGGGAAAGCAATCTCCTTTCTCCTCCCTGTGGCCTCTCTGGGTGGCCAGCAGTTTTATTACTGGCAGAGGGCGAGCCCAACAGCATTTTTGAATTTGGCACCACATCTAAAACCATTTGGGGGCTGGGCTCCTCTTTCTTCTCTGCCCCACCTCCCTATGAATGCTTTGGGTTTGGTGAAAGCCCGCATGCAGTTAGCAGGCTACATTTCCCCTCAATTTTGAAACCCTTGTGCACTTGGGGAAAATGTAATCCTTATGTTTCTGATTCATTTACACTTAACTCATCAAAACGCTATTTTGTAAGAGCTATTTGATGTCCATGGAGTCTTCTGAGCCCTTTTGTAAGCCTTGCTTCTTAGAAGCAGGAAGTCACATTTCTGAAGAGGGGGAGAACTTGAACCTACAAGGTTGAGTTTGTTTTGAAATGAGGGCTCTTGGAAGGTCACGTGGATCCTGAACGTGGCCAAATATGTTCTCTCATTTCCTATACCACCCCCCTTACTCAACCCAGCTGCCATGAGCTTGCTACGTCAGCTCTCTATGATTTCACTCTGAACAACCAAGGGAAATTTTTCATGATCAGAGAGAGCCGAGCTTGAATTTGACTCCCAAGTTCTGGCCAGACTCCAGCATACTTATGATGGGGAAGCAACACCTGGATTGAGAGTCAGGAGCCCTGTGTTTTACTTTACTTTCTGTTCTTCCATCCAAAGACTGTGTGGCTCTGAAGAAGTGGGTTTCCCATTCTGACTTCGATTCCTTCATTTGTAAAGTGTCAGTACTCATTTCGATGATATTCACTGTTCCTTCTGAGGACTTTTAAGTCTAATTCAGAGATGGTATGAGATTTGAGCATCTCAGAATTCTCTGTTTAAAAATTTTGTTTACAAAGAGCTTTGTTTAGGAAGGACACACAAAAAATGTGGCTATCAGGGCTTTGGACTTTGAATATCACTTCCTCCAAGTTTCTCTTTGTGGGATGGATACCAAAGCCCCTTGCTAGATCACTCCAAGTCATATAACAAGTTAATGGCAGAGTTCAGCATAGCAGGATACAAAAATCAACATACAAAGCCCCCAAACCAGAAGCTTTTATATACTCTAGGTTCCTGGCATTTTTGACAAACGTACTTGGATGGAAGCTACCAAACTTTTCAGTTAATAGGGTATTGAAGCTGGGGCAAAAAGAAAACTACGTCCCATTCTGACAACAGGAATGTGAATGCCAACACAGCATGCAAGTAGGACTGGCACTGTTTTGCATGAGGCACAATGAGGTGGTGTCTGGCTTGTATTAAAGCGCATGAGTGAATGATTAATCCCTGGTAGAAAACAAAGCCTGAGCCTTGTAACATTATAGGTATTAGTGCTTCGGTAGATTAACCCTGCTGCCTCCCCAAGGGACCTTTTGGGAATATTGAACTACACTTTGATAGTCAGTGGGTGATGAAAACTGGTGGTCTCACAGGTCCTGCTTGTCCAGTCTCAACTTGTGCCCCCAACAAGCACTCATACACATGTACACACATGTACACAGTGATGCATTATTTTTTACCTCAGTTGCTCCTGTATTTCTACATGGGACAGAACTCCTCTGTCATCCTAACCCAAGTGTGGCTGTATGTTCGCATTCATTCCGTTTCACTGATGCCAGTAACATGGGCATCTTCCATGATCTACTCACCTGCCTCTTCCTGACTGGCCATCGAGGGCTTCTATCCTAGTCATGTTACCCAGCTCCATCCAGTTCTCTCCATTCCCAAAACAACTACCCCAGACCTAAGTCACCACATCCTATTTCAGTTTGGTACTGTTTTTACCTCTCTTATGATTTATGATCTATGTTCCCATTCTGGCTTCTACCTGGATATCCACACGTAGTCTAAAACCAATCCTAAACAGGATTTTATACCACGTAACATCCCTCAATAACTTTCCTCAAACCCCAAGATGAACTCCTGGGCCATTGTGATCTGCTCCCTCTCAAACTCTCTGTTCTTTTTGTTGAAACATTTCTTTCAAATTTCACCCTCCACCACCATGGGCAGGAATTCTTACCTCCCTTTTTCTGGCTAAACCTTTCTGACCTTCGCTTAGATGCCATCTCTTTCAAGTGCTTTCCACTGACCCTTTAAGCTGAGGGAGGACCTTCTACCTCATGTGCTCCCTTGACATAACACCTTTCACCTTTCACTCTGTTTCATCATCACATGTTCTTCTGTCCACTTTTGACATTAACTATATTAAGATCTAGAAGGCTGGTACTATCCATTATTGCCACTAGTTTGTACAGGGCCTGTAAGAAAGACAGTGCTAAATATGTGCCTATTGAATGAAAGACTGAATTGTACCTTTTGACCCAATCCCCTGACTTCAAGGATAAGAGAACTGAGGAGAGGACAAAGGACCAAGCTGTAAGGCATTCTTACTTGTCATTTTACCCTCTAGTATCTAATTCACCTTAGAATTTAAAAGAAAGAGTTCCAATACACCATATGCTACTTATATTATGGATTTCTAACCTCTTGTTGATGCAGAACGGGTTGTATTCATTCATCCCCATATGCACGCCTGCATTTATCCACCACCTATTTGATGTCTGGCTGTGCACTAGAAGCTAAGGATAGAGAAAAATGAGGCAAATACTATCTAGTCTCCACCACTAGTATCCTACTGTCAAGCCAAAAATGCCATTGAGAAAAAAAAGTACCAAAACATTTTGAACTCACCTCAAAGAGAGAGTTTTAAAGCCCTGAGAGAAAGGACAAGTCTAGGAGATGCCTTGAGAGTTTAATTGTATCCAGAAATCTTCTTTAGAGCTATATGGCCAGTTCCTAAGCTCTAAGTCGAGTTGCCCTAACAAAGCAACCTGTAGTCTTCATCTCTACTGACTTAGATGAACTCAATGCAGCTGAGAGCTCAAGGGCACTCTGAAAAGGATGCCAGAGCTATCAATGACCTTCAGGGTCATTTACCTGCACTTTCAATTATATAATGGGAACTTGGACCCATAGATTGGGGAACCAATCAACCAGAGACACAGCAAAATTTCAGGAGAGCAATACTGGAATCCAGATATCTTGATATAGGGGCCAGTACATGTTGTTTTTCTCTCTCTTTCTCTCTCTCTCTGTCTCTCTTTCTCTCTCTCTGAGATTAAAGTACAATTAACCTTTTCTTTCTTCTAGTCAAACTCTGAGCAGTTTATGAGAAACTGCTTTGTCCATGTGTCTGTGCATGTCAGTATCTGCCTCTCCTACACACTCTTCAGTGTGGTGCTGGTCAACAGCAGGCCTAATGAAAAACAAACATAGGAAGAATCATGGACATTTAAGTCTTTACAGTTCCTCAGATTCCATCATGTTCTTAGGAGTCTATTTTCTTATTAGTTTTTCTGCCACCCTCTGTGAGACTACATGGATAGGAATCCTACCCATTCTGTCCGGGTGACAGAGTGTAGGCTCAACATTTGAAGAGGACTGGTCAGGGTCACACAGCAAGGCAGTTGCATGCTTGTCTGTGAGTCAACTCTCTTGATTCCAAATTCAGCATCTCTAAAGTGATGTCTGAGGTCCTGGTTTCAGAAGACACAACATAAAGCCACCAAGACCCACCCTCATGATGCTCAGTGTCTCCAAGCACATAATAAATGGATTTTGTCCACTTTTCTTACCAATGCCCAGTGTGAAATAAATTCCTCCATCTTCTCACATCTGTAATTGTTCTGACAGCTGTTATTTTCTTTCTCTTTCCTCTTTATCTATTCTTTTAAATAAGGAATTGGAGAGCAACACAGCCAAGTACAGTCCATCCTACCTACCTCCAGGGTGAAGAGAAAATAACAAAGAAGTAACCCCAGGATACTCATTGCCTCCTGATTTCACTAAATCATTGTTTTCCAAAGGAGCTTCCTCAGGAATGCCAGTTCTGGTACATGAGGCCAGAAAAGAGGGTTCATATTCTTTTTAAGCTAATGTCAGAAAAGACTGTGTAAAGCATTCTGACAACGTTTGAGAGATTCACAACAAACAGTAGCATGTTCTGGAAACTTTTGCAGAAGAGGTTCTCTTAACAGTATTGAAGCTAGAATTCCCTGAAAACACACAGACTTCTTTGTTCCCCCTGAGAACCTCTATTAATATGCCACAAAGCTATTGATCTATAGAAATATTTGGAATACTACAATTCCTCTATTTCCCTCTTCCCCCTGCTCACAGGTATAGATACTTTTGCTCTAGCAATATGGTGTAGCAGGTCTGTTGAGTCCCATCAACCCCTCTCCCAAGATAATAACATTCATTTTCTCATCAATCTATAACTCTGCTCTTTTAAAAACTTGACTTGAATGTCTAGGCTCCCCTGAGGAGGATCATCTCAGTTCTAACAAGTCATTCTGCTTGAAATAAGTTTCTTTCTACGGAGTTTATTCATGCATGTTTGTTGTAAGAAGCATAAGGTGGTAGTGGTTAAAAATATCACTTCAAACTTGTTGGAAGATGTTCTTAATGTCTGTAAATATCTGTTTCTTCAGCTGTGAAGTGGAACTGATAATAAAAATCCTTTTGAAAGGATTAAATGAGATAAAATATTTAAGAGTGTTTGATACATAGCCAATAAATTATGGATGTCATTATTCCATGTGTATTATAGTATATGCTAACTCAGAGTCAAACCCATCATTTTTCCAGTGGAGCATTTAGGGAGGAGTTGTACACTTCCTCTGAGCATCTAAAAAATGAGGAAAATATCTATCTCTTGGGACCATTAGGATATCATTATACAGAGATGATATTAGTACATTTTTGATAATTCATTCAAACATACATTTGAAAAATCTTCTCAGTCTTTTAAAATCATGCCGAACCAGCAAGAGTTACATTAACCATACACAATTTTCTATACAGCATATTACTTTTGTTATTTATGGATTTATTTACCTATGTACTTGTCTGACTATTTGCTTGCTTATTTAACTTAAAAATTAGTCTTAGTCTCAGGAGGTTATAGACAGCATCAAGAATAAAAAGGTTATGTTGTCCTTAATGATTTGCTGAAAGAAAAGTGCGATACATAACATGTTGGATGAAATGGTGATTTTATGGCAATGGGACAGGATTAAATTTACTTTGTATGATGTAGCTTAGAGTAGTGTGAGTAGAAATGGGCTCTGTGTTACTAGTTCTGGATCAAGTTTTGTACATTTAACATCCCCAGTCCACCCCCAGATGCTATCTTTCCTATAAAACTTTTGAGCATCTCCAATATGATTTGTCTAAGACTGAACTTTTGTTCTACCTCACTCCTCAACCAAATGGCAAATGACAATCTGTCCCTCCCTCTATTTTAGGAAATGACACTTTTCTCATTCCTGATACTCAAACTAGGATCTTACGAGTCACCAATCAGCTCCTTCTGGTATCTCTCACATTCAGTGCATCACCAAGACGTGTTTTTTCTATCAGCAAAACATACCTCAGGTTTGTACACTCCTCTATAAAAATAACTATAATTTCTGCTTTGTTAACGATAATATTTAACTAGACTCTCTCATGCTTTTTCAATCCTTTCTGCACAAAGCATGCAGAGAAATATTATAATAACAGATATGACTGGTTTAGACCCTTTATTTTGAAGTGAATAAATCCAAACTCCTTTACATGAACATCAACTTCTTAACAATCATATACTATTCAGAATTATAGTGCCATCATAGAAATTTTCATGCAGTAATCACTCCTTATTCAATGAGTGGTTGAGTGAACGAATGAATGAGGAAAAAGAATAAATTATAAACAGAGCCTTTGGCCCATTGCTTAACTTCTGTGAGTCTGTTTTCCTAGTTATAGAACACACTCACTTCAAAGGCTAACCAAATGGACTGGACATGTAACTCAAGGGGTAGAGTATCTACTTAGCAAGTGCCGTGCTCTGAATTCAAAAACAAAACAAAACAAAACAAAACAAAAACAAAAGAAAAAGGCATGAGAATGACCACAGAAATCTGGATAAGTGATTTTTAGGTGATCGCATCAAACAGGACTTTTTGCATTGTCAAAAAAGGTACCTGGAGATATCAGCACTTCTATTGCTTATCCTGGAGATCCTTTGATTGTGCTAACCCCTTTTGCTTTTCGTAATATTCCCAGAAGACATATTTCATTCTGAGAGGTACTTGGCCTAACACTGATAAGCCAAGTGGATGATGCCCAGCTTCCAGAAATAGAGTGAGACTGTGCCCACCAAGCTGGCTTGAGTTAAGAACAGTGGTATTCATTCTAGACTTAGAGAAGAAACATCTTTACTATTGATGCTGCTCCTCTACCCTGGTGGGTAGGATCTCTGAATACAGGCAAAACCATGTCAGGCAGGCGTGGGAGAAGGCCTTGCTCAGGAAGGGGTCCAGTCAGAATCATGCATTTTAGCAACAGGTTGCTGGAAACTATGTTGGTCTGACAACGTCCACACTCCTGAAGCTCCCTCCTCCTCATCTGCTTAAATGTTCAAAAAAAAAAAAAAAGAAAAAATTTGCTTTCTCCTCTTTTTTTGTGTGTTTATTCTATTGCTATTGGAAACAAGAAAAACTAGTTTTAACACCCACTTTCTCCATCCATCAGGATACTACCTTGTCCTTTGCCAGTTGCCAAAGCATATGCTCTATAGCTTGACAGGTTCATGGTGATTGTTGGGGGAGGAGGTGGAGGCTGTCAGCCAAATAGATATAAAACTTGGTTCTAACAGCTATTAACTTTGAGCCCTTAAATGACTGACATTACCACTTTGAGTCTCAGTTTCCCCACCTAAAAATGAGATATGTTAAATACCTATACCTTATTTGTTGGCTTATTAAAAAATACTAGACATATATGAGGTGTATGCTATGTGACCGTTATGGGTAGTAGTGATGTTAGCAGTGCTACTAGCAGACGCTATGATTAATACTAGTACTTGTAAGTGTGGTTAACCCTGTGACTAAATTTAGGCTCTACTGAGGGTAGAAACCAGATTGGTTTTGCTACCTTTTATCTTCAGAACATGGCCTGGTTCCCAGTACAGGGAGTGCACTAAAGTAGGATTTGATAAATATATCAACGCATATGTGATGACTCAGAATAACCTCTTCTGACTCCTTATTTCATCCTGGATCCTAATAGCAATGGTGAACATTCAGGAGTGTAGACACTAAAATTTCAGTTTTACAGATGGGAAAATAGAGGAGTGAAGAACTGAAGATTAGAATGATCTTTGTGATACTAGAAGACGAGTCTTAGATCAGGAAATGTGACTATTCAGGCAGTATTGAAAAGATGCTCAATCAAGATCTCATAAGAAGAATGTCATTGAGGAGTAAGATTTTATTCAGCACATGGGCAAAACAAAGCTCTTTTACAGTGTCACCTAGTGAGCAGTGACAATGTGGAACTGCAGGTCAAGCTCCAAACAGCTGGTGGTATACAAGCAAGTTGCCCTGTTACAACAACATGGTTGTCTATGAAAATGGAAAAGGCCCAGAGCAAATGACCCAGAAATTCCATTTCTCACTATTGACTTGAGAGAAGTACTCAAATGGAATTTTGCACAAGAGTGCTCACTGTAGCATTTGTGTTAAAAATAGAAGAGAAAATAGAAAAAGACTAGAAAATATTATTTATTTGTATTTATAATAGAAAAAAAATGTGTGAAATAACCCAAATACCCATCATTAAGGATCTGGATAAATAACCTAAAGCATATTCAATCTACGGAATACTACATGGCCATTAAAAAAGAAGTAGATGTAAGAGCTAAAGTGGAGAGATAACTCAAATTACTTCATTTCCACCTCAAAGCTCTGCATTTGATGTGATTCACCATGCACTTCTTTTCTGATCTATAGCGTGAGTTCATTCATTTATTTATTTGTCCATCTATTGACATTTACTGAGCATCCACTTGGTCACCACCATCCAAACTGTGGCAAAAGTCTTCAGTGATCAACCACTGCACCTCTTTTAGTTCTGTTTAGACACCACTTCCTCCAGGAAGCCTTCCTTACCTCCTTAAGCTAAATTAGCACCCTTCCTGTGCTTTCCCAAGGCCCCTCTGTTCTCCTTACACCACAGCAGTTTTGCTCCATCAATATCATTATCTGATTCCTTATCTGTCCTCCCCCCATTTTAAACTGTGCTCTTGAAGCCCGAGATTGAATTTGTATTTATCAGAGCTATATGCCTAATCCCAATGCATGGCATGGAATAGACACTTATAGTATTCATTAAATGAAACAAGTATTATTGGATATGATTATATTGGATTTT